GAGGGAGGGAGGGAAGGAGGGAGGGAGGATAGGGGTGCTCTGAAAGCAGGTATGTAACAGATGTGTTCCTCTGACATACAGTATGAGAGAGTACTCTGAAAGGAATGCTGGTCCATCAGGACATTTGCCTATACAGGAGACCAACAAGAGTCAGTGGCTTGTAAGTGTGCTGCATGGTGCACACAGTATGGTTTGCTCAACGTCACATCTCTGAGTTTTGGTATTGTTTGGTGTTTTTTCTTTCCAGCACACAAGTGTTGAATAGAACCCTTTGGCTTTTTTTTCTCAGCTGGTAACTACTTTTTGGTGTGAATGAACATGGTCCTGTGTGTGTGTGTGTGTGTGTGCGCGCACATGTGGGTGTGTGCTCCTGTGTGAGGGTGTGTACATATTCCTACATATGTGCACATATTTATAAGTATGTGTGTTTACATGTGTGTACATGTGTCGACCCATGTATAAATGCACATACAACTGAGAGAACACAAACAGTGGATACTCATGTGTGTAGATGCTAAAGGTCAATGGCAAATGTCTAACTGAATCATATATGCATATATATGTGTATATACATGTATATATACACATGTGTGTGCGTATATATGTGTGTATATATACACATATATACACACATGTATACACACTCATATACATATATATGGCAGAGTCTCTCATTCAGTCTGGAAAATTGAACTACTGACAAGACTGCAAGGCCAGCAAGTCCTAAGAATCTTCTTGTTTTCAGATTATAGGACTCTACTATGTCCGTTTATTTTGTGGGTACTGAGGAAACAAACTCCAGTCCCCATTCTTCCATGGTAAGCATCTAACTGATTGACTAAGTCATCACCCCAGATTCCTTAGCTGGGAACAATTATTTGACACAAGAGTTCTAATTTGGGTGCTGGAGAGAGGTATCAGCCGTTAAGAGCACCGGCCACTCTTCTGAAGCACCTGAGTTCAAGTAACCAACATCCATCCATACTGGACAACTAGTGACCACCTGAAATCTCAGCTCCAAGGCAACATATGCCCTCCTCTGTCCTCTCAGGGCATTTGTCCTCAAGTGAAGATGCTGCACCAAGACACATGATTACAAATAAAAAAAAAATCTTTTTTTAAAAAAACCTCTAATCTGAAGCATCAAGCTAGTTCACAAAGATGTATTTCTGGTGCTGGCTTATGGGGAGAGAGAAGGTCCAGGCACTTACTCCTGTGAGTTAGTTTACCCACAAAGCCATCTGTTCCTTTTCACCTACACTCAGCTATCTTCTTGCAGAGACACCTCTCAATTAATAGAACTGCCAGACAGTATGACTAAGAATTATCTTTTTTGTAAAAAAACAGTCAAGCCCTCATTTTTCTATAAGCATCTTTTTTTACGGAAAGCTCCTCCATTCCCCTCAGGCTGTGCTTTATGGTGTACTTGGCGAATTGAATAAAGGATACCTGTTAAAGAAAGGAAGGTTTCCATCGAGGCTGTTGAAATCTGATTTCATCTCAGATTCTAGAACTAATGTTGTTTTTTGTTTAACTAGATTTTGCCTGTCAATTTCCAGACCTGCTGTGCCATCCGCCTGTATGGACTGCTGTGGTCAACATGGGGGTTGTAGTAGCAAATTTTATTATGGACTGGTAATTGAATTGAACAGGTTTACATTTGAATAGATTTACTACACCATGATCTCTGACATACTGCACAGGACTCAAATCCCTGCACATCCATAAAGATACGTTTAAGACAGTATCACCCTCTCCAGGCTTAGGGAGCGAGCCTTGAGCCACGGAGATGGCCAAGCATAATTGTGCATTTATATGCAGGTTGCGATGCAATATTTCACTGTATTCTTTAAGCATAAGAGAAAAGAAAACAATATTCCATATTTCCTCACGCCTGTCCCATCTCCTATCCCTGCTTTCAGAGAGAAGGAGAGCAGGCTCGGAGGAATGATATTTTGCCAACCAAGTGTTTGTAAGGAAGTAAAGGGAAAATAAATTATTATCTGAGCATGGCGGTAACAGCAGCTCTTCCCTTGAAAACACATGCTCTAACGGCTTGATAACAAGTGCCGAGAGGTGCGAACCATAGATAAGCTAGGCCCAGTTTATCCCTCGAAATGATGTTTAATTAAACACAGCTCACACTTCTGCCTTCCCACTCGCCTCCCCTCAGATCCTCTCCTAGAAACTATGAGAGACACTATCTAAGAAAAAAGAGGTGTCCCTGTTCATCTTTAAAGTCGAAATGGCAATCAGATGGGTAAATTACAGTATTGAGATCAAACTAATCAAAAACTCGCATCTCCCTAGAAATGGAGGCGTGTCTCTACGCACTGCACTGTTTGAAAACAAAACTGAATCTGAGGTATACTTGCCTGAGTGAGGCTCCCAGGGATACCAGGCTTTTCATTATATTTAAGCAAGTGAATTGCTTCTTAAATGTAACGATTCTTCAGTTTTCAGGGGCTTGCAACCTTTCGCTATTCTTTCTGTTTTGAGCCCAAGTTTAGTTTAACTCTCTGCAATCAGAGTAAGTGGGAGTATAAAGATAATCAAGGCCCAAGCCCAACTGTCTGGCACTTACAACATACTCAATTACATTTTTATGAGATTTTCCTGCAGCACGGGGAGGGGAGTTGCTCTACCCTGTGAATTAATTTTTGAATGCTACTCTGCCAGAGGGCTTAAAGCATTGGCTAAGCAAAGCCACTAACCATAATACAGTGTATCATCATTACCATCGTCATCATCAGGCAAAGCAGTGGTTCTTACCCTGTGGGTTGTGATCCTCTTGAGTGGGCCCAGTGACCCTTTCACAGGGGTCACCTAAGACCATCAGAAAACACAGATATTTACATTATGATTCACAACAGTAGTAAAATTACAGTTATGAAGTAGCAACAGGAACACTTTTGTGCTTGTGGTCACCACGCTATGAGGATCTGTATCAAAGGACCGCAGCATTAGAGGCTGAGAACCTCTGCTCCGCACTGAGTGAGATTCTCATGTAAAAACGAAACACTAGCACCCCGAGTCCTTTCCGTGAGGGACAGTAGCAACGCTCTAAAGGAAACTGGCCTGTACATCAGTTGGGTGGGTCTGCTTTTTAGCCATGTGTTCAGCTTTGTCAAAAATTATCCTTTGGTCGATTCCATACAGATGTTTACCAGCAACCAAGGAACTTGTGTGGCACAGGAGCCTGGAACAGTGCCTGGTGTGTGAGAGGAGCTACATGAAAATTTAGAAGATGTATTGGAAACCAAATAATAGTTACCTATGAATCTCCTAATGGGGCCAAAGGGCCGAAAATGAAAAGCCCCCTCATCACATTCATTCTGAGTGTCGGTGTTTCTCCAGTCTCCTTGACCCCTTCCTTGTCACTGTGCATATAACTCACCTGTGGCAGTTCTCCTCCTCATGGGGTCTCTCTCTATCCCCCTCCATATTCATATATGATATATATGTAATCATATTACTATACATCTCTTTCCTTTATTTTTTCTGCTGGACATCCTATCTTAGCTACCTTCCTGCAACACTTTAAAGTTGCCAAGTTTGCTTGTTGACAGCTGGTTTCCAGGGAAAGCGCCAAGCTGAAGACCAGATGGAGGACCTGAGCAGGCTTTACCTTTTCCAGGAGACAAATAAAGGCCAGAGGAATAGGGCAGGAACTCCAAGTCCCTGTATTCAATCTGCCCTCTTATTCTCCTGTGACAGCGGCCACAGAGAAGGTCTTGGACAGGTACTGAGCAGGCAGAATTATACAAATCCAGTAACTATGAAGTTAGTGAGGCTCGTCATACAACTTATCGTTTGCGTATACGTGAACTTAAAACGTGAAACAAAGATAATGGAGAGGAATCTGCAGTGACAGTAGATAGCTCTGTTGTAGTCGCATCTAAATATTTCTATAAATAATTCACCTACTAATATATATATATATATATATATTACACACACACACACACAAATATATCTTTAAACTTCTCTCTGTGGCCACACATTCCTCTTGGTGTTTTATGGAAACATCAGATTTGCTTTAAACTCTGACAAGCTTTCTAAATACAAATAGATAAGTCCATGTTTACCTGAAAAATATGCTTGTACAGGGATTTAACAAGAACCCTCTATAAAGGTGAGTTTCTCAAAGAAAAGGAAAATTTTTACTGCCTCACAACTGATTTATGACTTTGTCTAAGTAAGCTGAAGCACACAGTAGGTCAGGAGCATTGACATGGGTGGGACAGCAGAATGTCCTCTGCAGCCAATGGGTTTACCTTTCCTGGAGGGAATCATCAAGTGTGGAAACGCAGCCAGCATGCTTGACACAGAACGCCCATTCACTGGCTTTGTCTTCCGTGTGGGGGTGTTTTCCCCAACCGAAAGCGTGCGAGGCTATTACAGGAGTGAGGCAGGAGTGGTATTCCATCAAAGAAATGACTAGTAAAGGTGAGTTTAGGAAACAATAAAGATGACCTTAAACCCAAAATTAGTTTCTAAAAGAAAAAAAATGAGAAGGGGTGCATTGTGGGTAGCCTCTTGCTTTGTCTGTACCTTCTTCTCTCTATATTTGTGAAGACCAAAGGACCAGGCCCAGCCCCACCATGGGGAATTTGAATCACATCACAGGGTCCTACCTTCTGGTTTGTGTCAAGCTGCTAGCCATGAGGTATTAGAAACTCTAACCTTAAGAGTAGTCAAGGTACCTACTGCTCCACCTTTCCCTGGTTTCCACGAAAATGGTCTTGAGCCCTGTTTGGATACAACACACTCCCACCCCTGTGCAGCCCACCAAACCCAGAGCACGAGGTTCTGACCTGCCCGCTTACCTTCCTTCAGCATGCCCACTTTGAGACACTTCATGAAGCGGCAGGCCTGGCAGGATTTGCGTCGGCGCTTTGTGATCTCACATTCATTCGTGGCTGGGCAGCTGTACTCTATGTTACCTACAGCACAGAGAATGAGGGAAAGAGGCCATCAGACTGGTGGGTCAGGAGAGATGGAGGCATCCCAAAGAAAAGGTACTCTGGTATCCACAACCCCAAAGTCATGTGACCAGACTCATGACAAGTGTCAGGAAGCTGGATACACTACTGTAGCCACAGAAGAAACCTCTAAGGAAGCAGCTAGACATAATTTAGCACTTCCAGAGAGGCTGAGGCAGGAGGATTACCACAAGTCCAAAGCAGCTTGGGCTACACTGTGAGCTCTAGGGAAGCCAGGGCTACATAGTGAGACTCTGTTTTGAAAAACAACCAAACAAACAAACAAACAAACAAACAAACAGAAAAAATGAATTATATGAACCTCTTAACACCATATTCTACTCCAAGATTTCCTTTGTATCATAATATTGTGGAAGACTGTTACTATAATTAGGAATGGAGCATCAGCCAACCACCACACAAAGTTGGCCCACATGAAGTACAGTCTTCTAGAAGATATTCCAAAAACAAAGACTGCTCAAAAACACCAGAGAGACTGGAGAGATGGATCAGTGGTTAAGAACATTCACTGCCCTGGCAGAGGATTCAGGCTTGATTGCCAGCACATGGGGCTGTTCACAACTTCCTATAACCCCAGTTCTGAGGACTCTGTGATCTCTTCTGGACTCTGCTGGCATGTACAGCCAAGGAGGCATATACGGGTACACATAAAATAAAATAAAATAAAATAAAATAAAATAAAATAAAATAAAATAAA